CTTGTATTTACCCTTCAAGCAAGCCCACAACTCTATAAAATGAAACTGAAACTGAAAAATAAGCTGACTCAAAGTCTGCCAGCGACAACTCTATAAGATGAAACTGAAACTGAAAAATAATCTGACCCAAAGCGGAGTCTCATATACATGTTAGCTCAGTCAAAGTCACCAGCGACAACCACGTCCAGCAAGCATACAAGGCATTATAGAATAATGATGTAGAAGAATAAGGAGGTAATGTAGCCAAATCAAAAGCAACCAACCCAGCAACCCAGACCACCAGCGGCAAAAACACAGACCTCCAGCGACAAAAGCTCAAGCACAAGCCACCAAGTTTAAAGCACAAGCCATCAAGAACAAGTCAACAAGCGAACTGTATATGAGAGTCACAAATCAGTTTCAGGCCCCTTTAACAAAAGATGAAACAATAGTATGGTTTGTTTCAGGCCCCAAATCAGTTTCAAACCCTCCAAGCAAGCCCACAACAAATACCCAGCAAGGAATACATGGATGATGTAGAAGAATACCCAGCAACCCATTGAATGGATGTAGAAGAATAGCAACCCAAACCATTGAAACAAATACCCAGCAACCCAGCAACCCAGACCACCGGCAACCCCCTCCATTGAAACAAATACCCAGCAACCCAGACCACCGAAAACCCAAAAAATTGAAACAAATACCCAACAACCCAGCAACCCAGCAACCCAAACCATTGAATGGATGTATAAGCTTTCCCAAACCATTGAAACAAATACCCACTAAACCCAGCAACCCAAATCAAAGAATGATGTAGAAGAATAGCAGAGAAAATGTAGCCAAATCAACAGCTTCAAACCCAGCAACCCAGACCACCAGTATGAAAACTCATAATAGGATCAAGTAAGGGGCTCAGATATAGGTATTAAAATTGAATACATGGCTTGCCTCATCTATCAATGGCGTTGCAATGTAGGTTGCAATCAAGGTGGCATTTTTCTTTTAGTAACTGCCCGCTTCTTGCTTTTGCTTTTGCTTGGTGAGGCAGCATCATCCTCAAGGTCAATTGCCATTGGCCTCTTCAAAGAATGAGTCTCACTTGAATGGGTACTAGGGGAAGTGTGGATAAGTGGGTGGCCACTGTTAAGCATATTCATAAACGACATGGGTTGTTGAGTCATAAATGAGTAGTTCATATCATAAGGATTGTAAGATGGATAAGTCGGTGGAGCAATGTATTGGGGCGGAGGGAATGGTTGTGTAGTGGGTGGTGGGGGAGCCGGGAAGTATGGATAAGTGGGTGTTGTTGGTGTTCTAGGTGAAGTATTCCTGAACTTATCACTTTCATTAGAATGCACGCGGCCTCATTCTAACATAAGCCCTACAACTCTCATTATAGCCACTAAACACACGACTTATGTGCCTAGCTCTCATATCTATCTTCTCTTTATTTTTCACCTTACGTTGATAAGTGATTGATTTCCGTCTACTACGTATCCTCATCAAACATGTAAACACACAAATCACCGCGGATATAGTAGCATTAGAAGCCATCCTCGTTAACATCTCTTCATCAATGTCGTCCATCTACATTGTATTAAAAAAACTCACAAAGTGACAAAATTGAAAAAAGCACAAAAACAATCTATATAGTATTGATCATTCATTGTTGATAATATTTGTTGCGAACTGAATCTTTTGGTGGAAAATAAAAACTGAAAAATTAGACATATATTTGTTGTTTGGAAAATGGAAAATGAAAACTGAAAAATTAGACAATTCTAAGTGATCAATACTATCCGCCCATTTGATATATTGATAATGCTTTCTCTGATTAAGAGGGAATGTGGTTTTGCCCACTTGATTTCTCGGACTCAAGACGTGGGCTTGGGGACAAATCAACCTCATTATCACCAAGTATTACATGATCCTCATCTCTATCCGTATCATGTTGTCTAGAACCAAGCTGATTAAGAGGGAATCCAAAGCATGGCATGTTAGCTAATTAGACATATATTGTTGTTTGGATACTGACTTAAGCATTGTCATGACTGATACATCTCGAGCACATAATTAATTGTGCCAAATAACTAACTGATTTAATTGTGAATTAAGCACAGTCAGGACTGAAAATTAGATCCGAAAATTTCAGGCTAATAATTGTGCCAAATAAACTTGATCAAACTAAATCAATTGCATATGCCTTACCACATATTAATTTTAGCTAGAACACCCCAATAACAAAACCAAATCCATCAATTTTACAAAGAAACCCTAATTTATGGAGGAAGGCAACTAGTTTTACCTGCCGAGGAGGAGACACAGTTGGTCGGAGCAATGTTCGGGCAGACAGAAGTCCGATTGAAATAACCGAATCCCCAAACCAAGTTACCCCCAAAACCTCAAGATGAGTGGAGAAGAGGCAAGACGGCTTGCCTGGGAGTTGGGGACGCTGAGGAGGAGGCGGAGGGAATGAAGTTGGGGTGGAGAGGAGGGAGGGCGTGGCGTCGCAGTCGGGGTTCGGCGGGAACGAGAGCTAGGGTTTCGCGCGGAAATGGAGACGGCGGGTAAAAGAGGACAGCAACGAAAGCGGTGAGTTTATGCTTCCGTTTGGAGATCCGGAGTTGGGAGAGCGGAGTTAAATGCTGAGCTGGACGCAATATGTCAGAAATCCAGCCCACATCCACTACAAAAAAGAGAATTTTAGAAATGCCCAAAAATATTAGTATTTTATAGTTTTAGAATTTGATATCCCAAAAGTTTTTTTGAAACAAACTTGAGATATGGATTTCTAAAACCTCAAAATACCACTTTTTACATCCCAAAAACTCAAATCTACCCTATATCCCAAAAAAAAAAACAAAACAACACCCCCTAAGCCTAAGAAACCCAATAAAAGACCCAACTTGAACCTGTTTCATAACTCATCCTCTCCAACGACACAATATAATAGTTAACCTATTTTTTAACGAATTTTTTTTATATTTGGTGGTTATAGAAGCCCACGGGAACTCCTCTAATGGGGGTGGGGGGTGGGGGTGGGAAGAAATATTTGAATAGTAAGCATAACAGAGGGACTAATGTCAACAAATTTTTACAATTTGAGAGACTAGTTATTATTAAAAATATGAAAATTTGAGAGACTAATATCAAAATACTAATGACTTAAGGGATTGACTGATGGATTGATATGCAAGTCTAGAGGGGGGTGAATAGGGTTGCTACCATTTTTCGCTAAAAATACAAAATATGCAGCAAAATAGATAAAATAAAAGTAAAAAATAATCAACCAAGTACACACAAGAGTTTATAGTGGTTCGTATAATAATCTTACATCCACTCTTTCATGAAGTGGCTTCCTCACTATACCAAGGGTTCCCCTTAATCACAACTCTATTCAGTAGAGTTACAAAAATTGGACTCTGAAAACTACCTGAAACTATTTGTCTAACCGAATTGTCTATAATAAATATTACCTAGCCCATCCTTCAATTAACACTGGTTTGAGTACACCATAAAAATAAGTTTGAAACAAACCAACAAACCAATTTAAGCACAGAAAATAAGAAAAATCTTACATCTCTTTTCAATTAACAAACAGTCCTTCTATGGATCAATAGAACGTTATTGATAATGAAATCAATGGCAACTCTTCTTGCTTAAGATTCATAGATGTTGAGCACGCCAAGAAAGAGTTTGTTGAGGCTCTGGGGATGAAAAGCTTTAATCCAATATCTTCTCTAATCAAAATCGTAAAGCTCTTATCAAAACCTAGAACTTTCTCCTCTATTTATCTCATTCAATCATATATAGTATTTAATCAATCAGTAAAGGGATATCCTAAATATGGTAGAAGTTGGAGATGAAATAGAACAACGAATGATTGTGATTAAATCATTAAATCTACAATTAGCCGATTTAACCATTGATGGTTGCTCAAGACCATTGATGAGTCCTTGAGCACCATTGATGGGTTCCTATAATCTATCAATGAGCTAAAAACCCGTCTCTATAATTCAGCAATTTGTTCCTATAGACCATCGATAATCTCATATCCATAAATGGGTCCCTGACCACCGTCAATGGTACGATGGTCGAAATCAGTGTTTATGCTGATTTTCATATCGTTTTGCCTTGTACACGTCTTATACATGTATTCATCTGTACGATTGTTGACATATTAGTATTATTAGGGACTTATTTGTAAGATTTGTAGGGGCCTATATAAAGCCCAAGAGATATCATAATGATATAGGGTTTCTATTTCAACTTGGTATCAGAGCATTCTCCAAACCCTAGCCGCCAAGTTGGGAAAGCTTACTAGAAGCTCTTATGTTAGTTCTGGTCATAGAAGTTCTCATGCATTTGACCTGGTACATTCAGATGTTTGGGGGCCTTGTTCCACAAGTTCTATGAATGGATACAAATATTTTGTTACATTTATTGATTGCTTCTCTCGTGTTACTTGGTTATACCTGATGAAGAATAAGAGTGATGTGTTTGGGTGCTTCCAAAATTTTCATAAGACTGTTCAGACTCAATACGGAGCAGTGGTGAAAGTATTGAGGTCAGATAATGGGACAGAGTATACCAACAGAGCCCTTGAAGAATATTTGTCAGCTCAAGGAATACATCACCAGACAACCTGTCCATACACTCCAGCACAGAATGGGGTAGCGGAAAGGAAGAACAGACATCTTTTAGAGGTTGCTAGAAGCATGATGATCTCTATGAATGTCCCAGAGACATTATGGGGACAAGCAGTATTGACCGCAGCAGCGTTGATCAACAGAATGCCCTCGAGAGTGCTGGATTGGAAGTCTCCGTGTGAGATATTGAAAGGAGATAATGGTGGGATCCTTCCACTCAAAGTGTTTGGCTGTGTGTGTTTTGTGAAGGACAACAGGCCGTCTGTCGGGAAGCTTGCCCCTAGAGCTGTGAAGTGTATCTTTGTGGGATATTCTGCTACTCAGAAGGGATATGTTTGCTGGAGCCCGGTGGAAAAAAGGTTGTTTGTGAGCATGGATGTGCACTTTCGAGAACTCGAGCCATATTACACTCAGAAGGTAACTTCATCTGCTGGTAACTCGTCCAATACTAGAAGTATGGGGCGAGAGGAGGAGAATGGTGAGAGACCGGAGAACAATGTGGAGAAATCCATTTCTGTATCGATTCCTTGGGAGGGCGAATTGGTTGAGGAGGAGTTGGTTGAGGAGGAGCCGGAGAATCACGAAGAAAAGGAACAAGAGACAAGAGGTGTTAGGCCCACTGTTCAGGGGGAGCTACTAACCTATAGTAGGAAGGGCAAACAAATTGGAGAAACAGTACCTACAGTGCCACTAGTGCTGCCAAGTCTCTTGCCAAAGCCCACCCCGACTCCTGAAATACCTACACCACCACCAATTTCATCCCAAGGTGATAACATTCCTACTGATAACATTCCTCTCCCTACTCCTCCCACACCAATATCAGTACGGAGGACTACTCGCAGTAATGCGGGACATCCTCCCGATAGATATGGTTGGGATCTTGCCCAGTATGTATCATATTCTAGTATCCACCCTGCATATGGAGCATTCATTGCATCATTGGACTCTGTTACTGTACCTAACAATTGGCAGGTTGCTAAGAAGGACCCAAAATGGAAAGCGGCTATGCACGAGGAGCTAGGAGCTCTAGAGAAGAACCGCACTTGGGAGCTAGTAAAGTTACCAGAAGGAAAGAGAGCAGTTGGATGCAAGTGGGTCTTCACTGTGAAGCAGAATCCAGATGGACAAGTTGAGCGCTACAAGGCTCGCCTGGTGGCAAAAGGGTATAGTCAGACATATGGCATCGATTATGATGAGACTTTTGCACCGGTGGCGAAGATGAGCACTGTTCGGACCTTAATCTCTCTGGCAGTAAATGGTGGATGGAAGCTACACCAACTAGATGTGAAGAATGCATTTCTTCATGGAGATCTAGTGGAGGAGGTATACATGGAGATACCACCAGGATTTGGTACAGATCAGACAGTGGGAAAGGTCTGCAGATTGAAGAAGTCTCTCTATGGTCTGAAGCAATCTCCCCGTGCTTGGTTCGACAGATTCAGAAGGGCTATGATTGGTATGGGATACCAACAGATCAACGCCGACCATACAGTGTTCTTTCGACGGAGTGGAGGCCACATTACTATGCTTGCGGTATATGTGGATGATATGATTATTACAGGGGATGATGAGAAGGAGATTGCCCAACTCAAAGTGAGACTGGGTAAGGAATTTGAGGTGAAAGATCTTGGCTTGCTTAGATACTTTCTTGGAATAGAGATAGCTCGAGGAGCGGAAGGGATCATCCTATCCCAGAGAAAGTATGCACTGGATCTTCTCAAAGAGACAGGAATGTTAGGGTGCAAACCTGCAACTACACCGATCGACCAGAGGTTCAAGCTAGGTGCTGAGGCTGGAGAACCAGTTGATCGTGACAGATATCAGAGGTTGGTGGGAAGGCTGATCTATTTGAGTCACACACGTCCTGATATCTCCTTTGCAGTAAGCGTGGTGAGTCGCTACATGCACGATCCGAGGAAGGGTCATATGGACGCTGTGTACCAGATTCTGAGATATTTAAAGAGTGCCCCCGGAAAGGGGCTGATATTCAGAAAGAATGGACATGTGAACATCGAGGGTTATTGCGACTCTGACTGGGCTAGCTGTGCTGATGACAGGAGGTCCACCTCAGGATATTGCATCTTTATAGGAGGTAACTTAGTCTCGTGGAAGAGCAAGAAGCAGTCAGTGGTGGCGAGATCGACAGCCGAGGCAGAGTATAGAGCTATGGCCTTAGGAGTTGCTGAGTTGCTATGGTTGAAGAGTATGCTGGTGGAGCTGAAGCTGGATCAAGGAGATAAGATGAAGTTATGGTGTGACAACAAGTCAGCTATAAGTATTGCCAACAACCCAGTGCAGCATGATAGAACCAAACACATCGAGATCGATAGGTTCTTCATCAAAGAGAAGTTGGATAGTGGACTACTGGAGCTAAGTCATGTTTCGACTAAGGACCAGGCAGCAGATTGTCTGACTAAAGGACTCAACTCAGTAGATATGATTAGAGGATGTGACAAGATGGGCTTAATAGATATCTTTCGCCCATCTTGAGGAGGAGTGTTGACATATTAGTATTATTAGGGACTTATTTGTAAGATTTGTAGGGGCCTATATAAAGCCCAAGAGATATCATAATGATATAGGGTTTCTATTTCAACTACGATATTATCTCAAACAAATATTAGTACCAAATGAGAGTTTGTTATTACTCAAAAAAGGGCTATTGTACACGGGCGGATCTAGGATTTCAGTTCTGCGGGGCCACGTACGAAAGATAGACAAAAAAAATTTTTAATGCAAATTTATTCACAAGAGATACACCACAACCCAAACAAAACGAGTAGAATAGCCAACATCAATATCTCAAAAATATTTCAAAAGAGGAAGACAAAAATTATATAGAAAATTTCAAATAAGCATCATCTAATTTTTTATAACCAAAACTTCTCTAACTAAAAGGAATTCGACGTTCCTTAAAATTTTCAAACTCTTCAATGATAGCATCAATGCTCAGACTTTTAGTAATTCCTCTTTCAATAAACATCATTAATGTGTTTGAGAGGAAAACATCCTCCATTTTGCTTCGAAGCCTAGTCTAGACATATGAGTTTTGAGATAAAGAATGAATATATTTTAATTTTTAAGGGAGGAGGTCTTACAGAAACCACCCTATCTTTTTTTTACCCAAATTTTTGGGGGGGCCGTGCCCCCTGGACTGTATATAGATCTGCCCCTGATTGTACAGACTGCATCCTAACATTGATATAAAAAGAAGTCATGTATGTATTAATATACTTGTTAACATTTATAATGTATGAATAAATGGAATACATGTTTGCTCTTGTTGCAAAAGTTATTCCGCAGATGATGATCGTTAATGAGTTTTAAATTCTAATATTGCCACTTCTTGAGCTTGTTTCATTCCATGATATTTTATTATCATTCAGATTCACTCTATTTGGCCAAACTTTTTGAAGTTCCCGAGTTCTTTTTTTAAAATAATAAAATTTTAGCGATCTTTTTGAAGTTTTAGGGTTATTATCTTCTATAAATATTTTAAAATTTTGGTGTTTAAACATTGAGAACACATGTTAGTAAATGTGGGTAGTTTCCATCAAAAAAAAAAATAAAAAACTATGGTGATAAGTTACGATTTATGTAAAAGTTAAAGTGATTTTGATGTGTCCGAGTGAATTCATAATAAATTCAACAAATATCAAGTGCTCGATAGCTTCTAATTACCTTTTGAGGGTCACATAGGAAAATTCAGAGCCAAATTTTCATATTTGCTCAACACAGAGCACACAAAGTGCAACTTCTAAAAACTTTATTTATGTGAGTGCTGCTAAAAACACACGTGTGAGAGCATATAAAGCGCCGAGTGGCCGCTGCGTCCGCAATTAAACCCTTTGCGTCGTTGTCAGAGGGTAGCTCGTCCCTCTTCTTCTTCGTTTCTCCCAAAAGTCGCTTCCCGTTCTCCCATGGACCAACTTTGTCTGAACCCGAGCCCGAGCCCTAACCCTAACCATGAACCTGCAGATCCCAATCTCCGCCCGGTGAACTCCACCGCCTTCAAGAGAGAAGCCCGAAAGAAACGGAAAGAGAGAAAGCGCGTCCAAAAACTCGGAGACGAACTGGACAATCTCCTCGCACTCGGAACCCGCACTCGCCCATCAAATCCAGTCTCATTCTCCGACATCGAGTGGCCGTGCGCCGGAATCAACTCCGACCCGATTCCAGAAACCGGGTGGGTCGTGCGCGGCCCGAATCCGCAACCCGGCAACCCGCTCCGCCTCCCTCCGCCGACCAGAAGTTTAAGGCCGCTTCGCCGCGGGTGCAGCAGAAAGTGCTGGAGAAATGCCAGGGCTTCTTCTCCAACAACGATGAGTCTGAGGAGGACGACGAAGGGGAGGATGTGGGCAATTCTAGGGCTTTTGAATTTTTTGTGGGCTTATTTGAGAAAGACGGGGATTTGAGGGGGTTTTATGAGAAAAATTGGGAGATGGGCGAGTTTTGCTGTTTGGTGTGCGCGGCTGTTGGGGAGAAAGTGGGGAAGAGGCATGTGAATTGCGTTGGGCTTGTTCAGCATGCGAATACCGTGACGAAGACGAAGTGGAGAGGGGCTCATCGGGATTTTGGGAGGGTAGTGTGTGGAGTTCTTGGTTGGGATATTGACAAGCTGCCGGGGGTTCTGGAGGGGAAGTCCTCAGTTAGAGATGGTGGCGTGCAAGTAAAGGTTACTTTGCATTTCTTGCTTTTATTATGTTCGTCGTGGTTTGCATATTCAGTGAAATTTCTAAATTTAGTGGTTCGAGACATTGTTTTAACTTTTAAATATCCTTGATATAACGGATATATGGGCCGATATATTCTTTTATAAGGCTCACCGCAAAATGATGTGGTCTCAATATCGTTGACCTATTTTTTGAAACTTTTGGGCAATATATCCCTGACATGGCCGGTATATGAGCCTAGATGTTGATTGATCTGTTGGTCAATATATCCATCTATATGCTTTGTCGCAAAACAATGTAGTGATGCAAAATTTCTTTAGTAGTTTTAGCAAAAATTACAGCCGTATGAAGTTTTTTAGCAAAATTCTAGTAGACTTCTTTTCCCTAAATAAGTTTCTAAAATTAGCTAGTGATCTTAAACATATATTACTTACAATTTTTCATGCTGAGATTTCATTAAGTACATTATATTATATATACATTTTAGTACATTATAGTATATCTACACATCATTCAATATGGCACTGTGATATATATCCCTGATATTTCCTTGATATTTGCTATTCAATATAGTTTTGGTCATCCGATATTTCCCGGATATCCGATATTTAAAACCTTGGTTAGCTTTGGGAATGGTACGTTATTTGATTTGAATCATTTGATAACCATCCAATTTTTTGTACTATGTACTTGTATATGTACAATGTCATGTGTTTCAACTTGATTAGAATAAGAATGTCTTTCATTGATTCGTTATGGAATCATAGTCTTGCCCTTTGATCGTAAACACTCATTGGAATATGGTCTACAATGACAACAGAGCTCTGTTAAATAGTAGATCTTCCTCACAGATGATGCTACTCGATATGCTTAAATTAGTCCAATCAGGAGAGTAAAAGTTAAATATGGAAGGTAAATTACATTCTACTCATTACTCAAGTGTTAGAACTCTTCAATGATGAACATGCCATTGATATCTTTCTCAAAACGGAGGCATGTACTGACATGTATGAATTTAGGAGTTCTAAACTTCAGGCTATTTGTGAAGCAACATTTGAATGTTGTTATTCATTAGAAACTTTTTGATTCAGTAACCATATACAGAAGGTTTGGGATCACTTCATGACCCCAGGATGCATTGGACAAAAGATTTCATTGTTTTCTTAGTGAGGCTACCCTGTTGACTAGACTACTTCAATCTTGATAGATTAATTTTTCAAATTAAAGTAACCCAAACAAGCAAATGTAATGGGAAAGTGTTGACTAGTTGTTGGCCTTTCTCAATTTCTCTCAGGGGTCATCTTTGATAAGAAAACTAATTTTGTGGTCTCTATTGAAACTATAAATGAAGTTTAGCCACAGGCTACTCTTATCGAAAAGCACTATTTCAGTGAAAATAATCCAACTTGTTCAGGCTTTGTTGAGGTTCTTACTGGTCTGTTTATGGGTTTATTCATTAGATTTTTAGCTCTCTTTACATATTAGATTTTAACCATTAGAAATGGGTAATGTTTTATCTGTGGCATAGATGTTGGGAACGTGGGACACTATAGCTACCACGACCCGGGTTCAATCACCCCGAAACATGGTACACTAGCGAATTGCGCTGCACACCTGACAACCCGATTTAGAATTCAAATTAGCTAACAATTTGGAGAGAAAAAAACAACCATTTTCAAAAAAATAAACAACAAAAGTGTACCATAATTGCAACTTGAAATTTCTGTTACCATTATTGATCCTTGAATTGACTCTTGCATAAAATTATACGTTAAGCAACTTAGATTCCTGCATTTAAAAAGTTGAACCTAAAGCACACCACGTTCCCTAGCGTACCATATAAGCCTACCTCCCTCATACCCGATTCCAAATAAGTGGTGTACCACGCTCCGGTTCCCGTTCCGTGAGTAGGAACGAACCGGGTTCCATACAATTATGATCTGTAGTATTGTCCCAACCTAACTTTTTGGCAAGTTCCTGGTCTATTTTGTTCTTAATTTCAATTATAAGAGTGTCAGCTTCAAGATTCCAGGTTAAATTTATCTCCATTTTTCTTAGCGCTAAAATTATGAGCTTTGCGCTAAATCCTTTTCATCATGCTCGTGTATTGTCCAGCTAATAGTTTCCTGTTGTGAAGCTAGTACCTTTTAGTAGCTTAACAAAAGGAATGGAGCCCACCCTACTTGTGTAGCTTTTAATTTAATACTATTCTTATGAAGCATTTCAGTCAAAAGAGCAAATGTTTCGTGTTTGGAGTTTATTTTATTTTGTTTCTTTCTCTTGAACATAATATGACACTTAGGATAAACGATAGTAAGATGTGCCTTGGTCAAAAGATGAAGCAACAACTTTTCATGTCTTGTTAGCTCAGTCCTTTAAACAGCGTTCAGAATCTCCCATCCAACTCATGCTCCTAAGCTTAGGCGCCGGAGAAGTTAGTAGAAAACAGAGTAGCATGACTTTCTTCTAAAGCAGTTGGAGTTGCATCATGAGGCAACTGCTGCGAAATTCAAAGCAACTTATTTCTGGTAAATCTCAGTGCATGTTCAATTGCTGGTAACAGAAAACTCAACTGTAAGGACAGTCTAGAAGGTATCCCTAGGGTAAGGATGTTGGAAGAAGCCATTCTCTGAATTTCTAGTTGAAGTGGCTGCATACTTCTTGCTTTTTAGAACAGGTGTGTCAGCACCATCTTTTAGCCTCTTTAGAACTTAAAATCAACCCGAGTAATCTACTGTCATCAGATTCGGTGATACTCCAAATGAATTCGTGGAGTTCGTTATTCTTCCTTCCAAGTAGTTCCATTGTCCTTCACCTTGATTTTGCAAGTTGCAAGACCTAATTATTGATCTAACATTGGAGGTTTCTTTGATCACTTTCTTGGAAGAGCCATAAGTAACATTTTCTAAGCGATAAGTAATGTTTTCTAAGTGATATCTGTTGTGGGAGTTTTGTGTTTATCTCCTACTGGCACTGGTTGCTTCTGGGTGCCAGGTCACTTTCGTAGCTCAAAAACCATGAAATAATTTATATAGTCATGCTTAATATGTAATTGTCCTTAAATTGGATTAGAAATGTGTATTTATGAATGCTATGTCCCTACATATTCCTTTGAGGACTTACTGTGAACTAGTTGCGTATTTGTACTCGTTCTCAATCTTGTGATGACAGTTTGCATATGTTATTTTAACAGGAAGACATGCAGAAACAGACTGGTACTATTGCAGAAGTAGGGCCACATAGAGGAGTTGGAGTTGGGGATCCTGTTGGGCCTGATAAAGGAGACTTGATGGATTGCATGGGAGCAGATGCAAACACTGATTGAGTACAACTAAAAGTTCTCATTATATTGTTATTTGCAATTGTTCTAGTTGAATTCAAACTGCTATTTTCTAATAAGAAGTTATTAGTAACTTGAAAGCATACAATTTATCTACTAATAAGTTTGTTAGGGTTCAGTGAGTGGTCATGGTAGCATTACTAGTTGCCCTTGGTGAATGGAACGATATATATCATGAACTTGTCATTTCTAATGTTGCTATATAGAGAATATTTGGATGATGGAAGAAGTAACAGGTCGTATTGATAGATGCAGAAGTAGAGTTGCATAAAAAACATCCGGTCACACTCACAAATTACCCTGAGAATGAAATTGTAACTTGACGTGAAATTTATTAAATCGGCTAAATAGGAAACGCGTTATAAACTTTCAATAACTAGAGTCAGGGCAAATTTAAATGTACTAATTTCTCAAAGTAGCTCTCCATGTTCAAATGTATCTCGAATGACCTTTACAGGCATGGAGGGTGAACTTTCCTCTTCTATGTAAACATAAACAGATATGTACACACAACATATGCAGGTTTATGAAACACATGCATATGTATATTAAACCACATGGAATGCTTATATATTCAATTTGGATTAGAACTTCAAGCCAAAATTTAGTTAGCGAATGGCATAATCTAGTGGACTATGGAATAGAGTTGTGATCTTTGAAAGGAGGCCTCATAATACCAATCTGACATCTGTAGCTCAAGATATATCCTCTGTAAGTCTGCTTCCCAGAAGACGCTGAGTATTCCTTTGGGTCATTTTTAACACACAACTTTGCCGTCTACCCTGCCCAAATTATAGAAAGCGTCGTTCTTTGGTTTAAAGTCAACGTAGGGAGTGCGAAATGTATCTTTTGAATATCTAGTGTGCAAAAAACCTGAGTTTTTTTTAAAACTTTACACCATCAGTTAAAAGAGCAGTTCAGCTCCCAAAGATCTTGAAAGGGTTCAAGCTTTAAAGATCCTCCAGTCTTGTCTTAAACTGGATGTGGCCATGTACATTTTAGGCTAAATGTACATGCTATTCCCAAACATTTCTCTCTTTCCTTCTTTTTTTATTTTCCTCCCTCTTTCTGGCATCTCCATAGCTAATTCCTGACATTTAAGACTCAATCTTGTTTCTTCGTTGAGGAAATATGCATGAAGCTTGTAAAGTTTTATTTCTTTAGACACGGATCGATGTTCATTCCCAGAATTTTGCATGCAGGCTCACCGCGGACAGCAGTTGGCTTTACTCTGGGTGCTTTTCTGCTGTCCCTTGTATCTCACTCTCAGTTTGGACGTCCAAAGATACGGGATATACTGCTGTTTTTTGGATACTGCTGCACGAGGAGTTGGCAAAGGCTGCTCATTGAGTGATAATCTACAGTAATTGCTTTGTTATTGTTGGAAGGATAGTTTGTGGACTTTCTTATCGAAGTTCCCTTTGCAGTCTATGTTTTATCACTGCATTCATCAGGTAAATGTTGTGTGAAATTGGTTAGTTCCTGGCAATTCCTTTTGACTAATTTGTTGCAGTTCGTTAGACTGGGAAGTTAAGTGGTGTTGTTGAGAGAGAGGTTAAGGAGTATTAATTTCTCTTAAATATGCCAAACACAAAAAATCTATCTAGACAACAACTAAAGTGAGTTGAACTTTCTCGAGGAGGGGTTTACATATGCGCCTATCTAGGCGCATTAAAAGACACCCCCTCTATTTGTAAAGAAAAGAATCGAAATCCTAATTTTTACCAAGCACTAAAAAATAACGGGGTTAAGGTCAATCTTACTTTTTAGATGGAAAATGCACTGGGGACCATTTTTATGGGACAGTGGGAGGGGACAGGTGAGGTGTCCCCTCCCCATTGCTTAACGCACTGTTCCTGTCCTATAAAAATGGTCCCTGTAGAATTACTCTTTTTAGATTGTAATTTAATCTTTGGGATCATCAAATGAACTAAATATGTTAACCTTTTTCTTTAATCAAATAGGTTAATAGGACATTTTGGGTAATTATCAAAAAGATTTTGATTGTGCTTATCAAAATGATCACGAGTGCTATATTTATACTTTGAATATACTACATATAAAAGAGGATTGTCTTGTCAAAACTTTTGATTTTAATTTTTACCCTTTTAGGTTTGATAATTCTCAAATATGCCATTGGTTGTAATTAATCATTCATTAATATATTATAACCTCTTGTTAATTATGTATTTCCTCATTTTTTTGAAACCTTTGGTCACACTATTATTTTATTATTTAAGTATGTTATTTCATAAAAAAAAATTTAAAATTGACCCTATATATTTTCACTCAATATTTAAAATTGAAGAAAACTTAAAAATAAGAAAAATTCATTAGGCTCGCACGCCTTGTGCCTTTGAGTTTCACCTTTTATGGAAAACTACATGTTACCTTTCATCTTATTAGCCTCTTAAAAGTATGATAGTAGTATGAAAAACAATTTGTATTTATTGTAATCGTAATAACATTAATAGTATAATGATTTTAATAGTGTTTTTAAATTAATTTAATAATGATACAATTTAGTAAATTATTTACAAATAGTACAATAAACTAATTATTAAATTAAAATATAGTTACTAATAGTATTATAAATACATTATGTATAATATTATTACATTTAAATGAGAAGAAGTTATTTAATATATGATAATTATTTTAATAAATTATGAATAAATTATAATAATTATCTAAACTGTAACAATTAATCATATAGTTTCTTTACACATAGTTTTATCATATAATTTATTCATTTAAACAAAATTTTGATTGTTCATAATTTATATTCACTATGCAAGTCATTTCATAATTTTGCAGCCAACAACAAAAAATTAAAAAACATAAAACAAAATAAGTGTGCTCTCGTGCACTATACTAGTGACCATAAAAGCTGTTTGATTATAAGAATTATATGTTTTAGTTAGTATATAATTATGTGTGTTGGTAAGCATATGCCCTCATGAAATTATAATAAGATTTTAATTATAGCGAGATCTTAATTAAATAATTAACCATTTACGTCTCATTTTTAGCAAAAAATGGGCCAGGCCTCGAAGCAAGCTAATTTTCACAATAAACAAACCAAGTAAATCACCGGGCGGTGAAAGGACTCCATAAAAAAGACAACAGAGGGAAAATGCCGCTTATATAAAAGTAGGCCGCTCGAATCCCTAATTTATCAACTCTCTTCCTCAAAAGGATCATTCTCTCTTGCTCTTCATCTCCGTTGAAAATCCGTCGCCGGTGATCGTATCGCCTTCGATAAGAAGTAATCATGGCTGGGGGGGGGTCAGGACTGGAAACCGGTGGTGGTCCGCAAGAAAGCCCCCAACGCCGCCGCCAAGAAGGACGAGAAGGCCGTCAACGCCGCCAGGCGCAGCGGCGCTGAGATCGAGACCATCAGAAAATGTATAGAGATCTTAACCTTCTTCTTCTTTTTTTCATGTTACTCCCTCTATATTTTAGATTCGCGTTTGATGATCATTACGATCGCATGGTTTCGCTCGAATAAATCACACGGATACTGTTTAGTTCGATCTTTGTATGGACAAGAAATCATATGGTTTTCGTGATAATAATTGGGAGTTTTTTTCTTTGTAATAATTGGGAGTTTTGCTAGAAATGCATGTGACATGGGGAAAACAGATACTCAACTGTTTCTCATCAATCTATTTATGTTACTATAGTAGCCTTTCGATCAATTTGCTATCTTGGATGTCGCATATTGTGTTCTGTTTTTTCCAATGGAAATAATCTCTTTTGTTTGCGCCGCTCTCCGATTGTTGCATGTGTTATACTCTTTTGTATTTGTATTTGTTATTCACTTTTTTTTTGTTGGTCCGCTTTTGATTAGTAGTTCAATGGATTTTTTTAATCCATGAACTTTGTTGTTCCTTACACTCTAGAGAGCAATCTTTCTTTTCTGTTTTCTGTTCATCAATTATCCTTGAATGTTTCCGCTATTTGATTGCTATTGGCGTCAATCTTTTAACTTTTACCGCGTCATGCTTTTCATGTCCTTTGAGCACGTCTTCAATTTTATGTTTTTCCGTTGCGTTAGTTCTCAGGATCTTCTTTCCTTGTGTTTTTGTTACGGCTTTCCTTCGTGACCTCTTCCCACTGATCAGTATTCTAGAAGCACTTAGTGCTAAATGTGTAGTGCTGGGAGAGATTCATGGCTCTATTTGTACTCTTGCCAAGCTTAGCTAACCTTCAAATATCCACAGTTATATATATATTATATATATATAATATATATATATATATATATATATATATATATATATAATATATATATCTTAATGGGTAAACAGTTTTCTTCTCCCCATGTGGGACATTTTGTGCATTTTATTGCTGACATCAAATTGTAAGCTGATTTGTAAAAGTAGATTCTTATTTCCAATGTGAATCGTATCATAATATCTGAATGCTTTACTGAGCCACATGAGTCCAAGACATACCAATAGCTATATACTATCTAAACCTCATATGCTCAGTGGTGTTCGGATATTAAGCTTTGTATGTTATAATTTTGTACTATTCAAGGGTGTTGGTACTGTATAAATAAATGAATCACATTCTGTTTTGCTTGTAAATGTGCAAAGGATTCTTATTCTTTTTTGTTTTACATGGGTAGCTGTTGCTGGTACAAACAAAGCTGCTTCTAGCAGCACTTCCTTGAACACGAGAAAGCTTGCTGAGGAAACAGAGAATCTTACCCGTGAGTGTTTTCACCCTGCTAATGTTTTAATTTTATCCACCTTGTTCTTTCGGCTTTCATTCATTTATTTCTCATCAGTGTGTCTACATGTAAGCGTGCAGAGAAACATCCTAAAACCTTCACGTGTGTGTGTATATGCATGCATGTCCGGTTGTTTGCATTCACATCTACTATATCTCCTCTTCTCAAAGACCTTCCATGAACTGAATATATTCAGGGCTTGTGTCTGGTTATTTTTAGTAAACATCTACTTGTGAAAGTAGTCAGCATTTCTTTCATGCAATTTACTCTCACGCTGCCATGTATCTTATGCCCAGTAACAGTATCTTTGCAAATGTTTACTTGTTATTGTTTGCCTCATTTATAATATTAGCACTTGATATTTTTAAGCATCCTTTTGAGCATCAAACAACAAGTGCATACTACTTTAGGGTATAGTTTTGTCTGCTCATGACGTGAAGGTTGTCCAGCTATACGAAGCCATCTCCATGTTCACCAAGAATCTGTCTTTGACCTGTGCATTGTTGGATATTCCATAGCAATTGAGATGGAGAAAACTCAAGAAGAAACTGTGCATAATATAGAGGAACTTTGCATGTTCCCCATTCATTTTCTATCATTGGGTGTGTCCCCCTAAGTACATCTTTTGCTGTCACGGGATATGCTTTATTAACGGTATCAAGGTCAGCGAGAGGACATGATTGAGGCGCTATAAATTCTAGGACTTTGGAGACAAACATATTTACTTCTCTCCATAGTTATCTATGTGGAGATGTACCAGTTTACTTGGTTTCCAAATATTTAGTTGTGGGTTGGTAGATCTCTTGAGAACTTCCGGTGAAAATGCGTGTACTCTTAATTACTTTGAAGGTTGAATGAGTTAAAATTCTCATTCATGTTGAACATAGCAACGGAAGTTATTGAAATACTATGAAATGAATAAGATGTTCTCTTTTTTCTTGAACAACATGACTTTAGTTTTGCAAGGAATTTTTTGTTTTCATTTACTTCTACAACTTCCCATTCAGAATCAGCTCCAGTTTCTTGTTTCATTGCTTTAAACTGCAAAAGTTCGAAACATGCATGATAACTTAACTTTCAAGACCACACCCACTTGGTATTAGTCTGAATCATGCATGAAGTTTCAATAACTCATTGAATATTATTTGCACTGTTAATGTAGATACGAGGTTGCATACTTTCTTGAGCTTTTCATGGGACTGTATTGATGGTAATGAGTAATAATACTTGCTCTCTTTTTGTTTTGTTTAACTGTCTTAATTTTCTTAGATGAGAGAGTCCCAACTGAACTAAAGAAAAACATAATGCAAGCTCGAATGGATAAAAAATTCACCCAGGCAAAACTTGCACAGGTATTTTCTTGTTACTTTCTATGGTTTCCATTAGTGACTCGCTCAAGATTGTAGACTAACATACATCCTTGATGTTGCAGCTCATCAATGAGAAGCCTCAAGTGATTCAAGAGTACGAGTCGGGAAAGGCAATTCCAAATCAGCAGATAATTACCAAACTGGAGAGGGTCTTGGGAGTGAAACTGAGAGGAAAAAAATAATTTGCCTCGTACAAGATTCGTAACCTATGGAACTTTCACATATGCAGCAAATGGTTCTATCTTGAGTTTGGCAGCTGGAACTGGTGATAGTGTATATGAAATGTAGAGCTGGTTCTGTGTCTTTTTACATGAGATGAACTTGTTGCTTGTGTTGCATCGTTTTCTTCTCTGTTGTACTGCTTTCTTGTGTCTAATAAATGAGGTTGGTAGAGGCTTTTGTGTGTTTTCTCTGTTGTTGCCTTATAAATTTTAGATTAGTTGTTGATATTTGCTGGCGAATGTCCCGCTCCTTGAGTTTTGACAAGGTGGGACTTAAATTGTCATGTGGAGTTCATAGTTTGGTTTTGGGTCAGGATGATGAGATGAGTTGGATATTCTTGTTCGTATGCACATTCTCGCTACTAACTTATGGATAAAATGTGAATACGGGTATCACCCCTATGTTTCAAATACTATGGCTGATTGGATGGGAGGATGAAGGGTTAAAACATTTTTGATACCCCTATGTTTCAAATAGAACAATTTTTCACTTTAGCCCTTTTAAAAATTTTTATTATTAAAATCGACCCTTTTTTCTTTTATTTACCAAAACCGACCCGATTTCTTGATTAGCGGTTTAATCACATTCCTAATTAGTCAGGGTTGCTAACCCCGACTATTTAGGAGAGTCTTAAACTCTAATTAGAAGCCTTAAACCCTAAAAATTAATATCCTAAATAGTCGGGGTTGGCAACCCCGACTAATTAGGAATGTGATTAAGCCGCTAATCAAGAAATCGGGTCGGTTTTGGTAAATAAAAGAAAAAAGGGTCGATTTTAATAATTCAAGAAATCGGGTCGGTTTTGGTAAATAAAAGAAAAAAGGGTCGATTTTAATAATAAAAAAATTTAAATAGGGCTAAAGTGAAAAATTGTTCTTTCAAATACTATGGCTGATTGGATGGGAGGATGAAGGGTTAAAACATTTTTCTTGCAATGATTGAGGGTGTGACTGAGTTGTTTGGATGTTCAACCAAATTACAAATATATGTGAGTGATATTAAGCATTATAATCGAAGCGGGATCTTTCTGAGCACATGAAAAAAAATATACATGATTAGTTTTTCCAATTTAATTTAAAAATTTTCAAACCAAATAATCGATCAATATTATAAACTCTTGCTCACAATTCTGTAACCTTTGAACCTGTGAGAATCAAAGAAACCTTTTTTTTCATATTCAACTCTAAACCTTAACATTTTTATGGGGAAAACAACTAGTACGCTGATGGTCAAGAGAGAGCTTAAGCTGCATGTAATTCAACTACATGACGTTTGTCCTTAATGTAACAGGCGAGAAAGAATCTGAAACAAAGATATTTCATTACTACAAAAAAATATATATATTAAAAATGTCATAAAATAAAGGAGAGAAACTAGTCCGAAACATACAGTTTCCCTTCCCCCCTCTACATAAACAAATACAACACATGATACCAGTTACAATAAATAAGGTAGGCATTCCCTTATTCACAGGCAAACTTAGTACCGAAGCTAGTTAAGCAAATGGCAAATGCCTGGAAAGCCGAGAGGGGCTGCCGATAGTCCATGGTGAATGTATCATCGCCAACTTTCCCAAATTGGAGCAACACCGTCTCCTCATCCCCAACACCCCCTTCTTGGCTAGGATCTATAGTCGCTGCCAGTTGGAAATTCTTAACAGAGGCCACTGTTACTCTCCCATGGAAATTTAAGCACCAGCACTGAAGATGCTCGTGCCATCTGGGAGCTTTGTTCTTAAGCACCATAGATGATGATACCACAGTATCACACGTAGATTTTGTTTTCAAGTTTTCCATGGTGTTTTCTTGTTCTGGTGGGCATTCAACAGAACAGCTCATTCTTCTAGGTCCTCTTGTTTTTAGAAGGTTGAATTTGTAAGAGACTTGACCAATTTCAAAAGTACAAGATGGAACCTGAGGGCTTATCTGGTTGCAGGAAAATCGCCGGCCTGCTTTGCAGTTTGGTGCCTTTGCACCTCGGCATGGTGGCTGGCTGTCAAAGATTGTAAACTTTGTACCTAAGAAATCAGCTCTGCAAAACATAGGACAAAATGTTGTTAAGGTTTATAAGCCCAAGCCAACAAGCATTTTTCCTCCCTATTATCTGACTAATATCTGCAGTTGATACAACATAAGAGGGTGATTGAGGAGTTTTATTTTTTGGTCAAAATAGCTTTTTAAATTAGCTTTTTCATATCTACATGTTTGGTAAAATACCAAATAAGTTAGCTTATAAGCCCTGTTTTAAAAGCTGGTACACCCCCATTTTTTCAAAAATTAGCTTATAAGCTCACTTAAATAAGCTAGGTTTTGACCAAAAAAAATTACCACTCTACTCCAATAATTTTATAGCAATTTTGTCATTGAAGTCAAAACCCACTAAAAGCAAGCGTAACTCATAAACTTCAAAAAAGAAAAAAAAGCCCTCCCGGTAGCCCCTATAAGCAGAAGAATGAAAAATGCAAAATTGCATATTTTCAGGAGGTGTATACAAAATTTGAAAAGGAATAAAGGATTAATGCTAAAGGACAAATGTTAAAAGTATCCAGTATTCACATGTGCATAAAGTCTCAGACTAAGAAGTATCATATGCCCACCTTAACTTGCCCACATAAGCATTACTTTTTTGGGAGATATCATCGGCATCCAAAGAGATGATAAAATCGACACGTCCACCGTGTCTTACCCTTCTAGCTGCCAGCAGAAATTTCCCTTTATCCGTAAATGCTGCAAGTAAAACCAAAAGGACAAAAAATTAGAAAAACTTCTATACCATGCAACAAAAGGATAAGGGGATAAAGGACAAAACAGGGATACCACACAGTAGCAAGTATATATTTAACAAGAGGACAATGAAAATTGTTATGAATCATTAGTAATGATGAGCAAAACTACATATCAGAAACTGCAATAAAGGTAAGCAACGTGAAATTTCTGACTAGATACTAACTAGACCACTGAGACATATTCGTCGAATTTGCAACCATTGACTATGTAGAATTCTACAACACTGCCACACAATTTCCTAAGATTAAAAGTTGTAACTAAAAGAAGAGCATGTTATAAATTCAGAATTGAAAAATAGACAGATTGTGAAGAAATCACATTGCTGGAAGCAAATATTGAACGTCAAATTCACCCAACATTTCAAGCTAACACATTGCTAAGAGTTGTCCACCAACAAAACACATATAGCAACTGACATAAGTCCATGTGATCTAAAAGCTTCCACAAATACAACGTCCATATTCAAGGATCAAATACTGCATACCCAGGCAAAACAATTGTTCTTGTCACCTTCCAAGTAAATATTTCTAGCTTGTAAATTATTGAAGTATTTGATAATAAGGTAATTCTCCAAGTAGGACCGTAGGTGATGGGACTCATCCTGTAGTAAGCCTTACAAATCACATGACATGAAAGTTAAAACATAAATCCAATTATACAGCTACAATTCCTTAAATATGAATTTCATGAATGTCTAAATGCAGCACATGTTACATCTGTCGCACATAAATTCTCCAGTAGACTAGTGCTTGACACCGTTATATGTGAATAGCTCAGCACATGTAACATCTGTCGCACATAAATTCTCCAGTAGACTAGTGCTTGACATCGTTGTATGTGAATAGCTAGAAAGTTGCTAGGTTTTCTATGACTCCACCAAGTACTTGTCATGGGACAAACTTCCCCTTGTTTCTTGGGTTGGGGAGGATTGATATTTAATAACATTAAAAACGAAATATCTCTGTGCTATGACAGACTATCAAGCTCACAAAACATTGGGACCTGACAGAAGTTGTCAAGAACTTCTTTCTCAAACATATTCAACAATAGACTTTATTCAAAAGCTGAGATGAAAGACAACTGAAACATATTGGACAAAGTAACTGATCAATGTCAACTCAAATCAAAATGGGTTTGTCGCAATATTCCATGCAAAAATTGACAAATTATATGATGGCCAACCAAGTGTCAACCCTTTAGGCCTTTAAATTAGTGACTAATTCATATCAACGAATCCATGGACAAAGGATGATTTTTGATAGAATTCTGATAGACCCTACAGCGCTGATTAGCAAGTTGGGTAAAATCTACCCTACATGTAATGCATTTAAA